TAAAACAACCCTTCCTTATTACTATGCAATTTTCCTTTCTTCCCTGGTAGTGACCCAAATGCCAACCGTATCCTACAGCTTTGAGATGCACATTTATGTGTCACTTGTTTCTTAGCTTCTTCTAGGCAGTCCAGATGACACCATTCCTGTGGTCTCTTCTGGATTCCACAAAGCTTGGTGTGGAAATTGGAATTTTGAGAATATAAGACCTTATAATCACATCCTCCCACTCTGTTTTCTATCCTTTTATTTCTCTGGAGTTATCCTTCCAAACACTACCTTCTAAAATTTTTTGGATAGCTGACACTTGTGTTGGACAAGTGGATTTTCATGGTGATTCTTCACAGTTACCTAAATCAATTTTGTGTAGCACTCCTTCCAGCTGCTTTAGCAGTGGTAACTGTAGAGGAATCAGTCACTCTGTGCAGGAGGAAGGAGGGATGTCTCAGAAGGAGTTTCACAGGAACCAGCCTGGGGAGTGAGAGCCAGACAAGCTGGTAGAGAGTGGTGGTGAGGGGATAAGGCTAGGTCTTCAAATTCTGCCCTTTCCTGAGGCACCCCCAGTACCTCCAAGAGGGGCATGCTTTCACCTGGAACAGTGAATCCAACAACATTGGTTGAAGGTGGGTGCCAGGTTTTTGCAATAAAATGAAACTGCACTCGTGCTTACTGAGTACAAGCACTTGGAAGAGCAGACTTTGACTTAAAGTCTTCCACTGCTCCCAACTCTCATGGAAGTGTTTGAGCAGGGAGGCAAGTGCACACATGCTTTCTGTGCAGCCCAGCATACAGCGTAGTGTGAACCGGCTCCAAGAGGAGTGAGTGTGCCCCTACCCCAAAATAACATGCAAGTTCTGGCTGAAAACTCCAGTGCCTAGAAGAGGGTATTGAATTTGTTTCTTCACACACAGGCTGGAATTAAAATCAAAGCATTACCTATGCATTAAGTCATTGCAGTTGAATAAATGGACCACTGCACCACCTTACTCTTTATTTTAAAGTGGTGAGGGTTGACATGTTTGCAGAACATGATCTGTATGCTTTAATAAAATGCCATAAATGAGCTATTCCTTCACCTGGCTTAATTTCTTAGGCAAGATGGGCAAAGGATCCACTTTGTGGATGTGGAGGGGTTCCTGTGAACATTCAGCAAGGAGCTTGCACAGGAAGGGGCGAGATACCTTTAGTATGTGTGTACATGGAATAGTTTCAAAACCAGAGCTGACCATAAGGCTTTACATGCTTCTGATAACAGGTGACAGTTAAGTAGGACCTTTAACAAAGTAAGTACCTAAATTCTATGTACATGCCTCTTTGTATGAGGGCGTAAAAATCACTACTTTCTCAGATTCAACTTTTACAATCTTATAAAGAGACAGGCAAAGTCAGACACTAAAAAGGGGCTAAGAAGTTCTGCTCTCTTTAGCATTGCCAGGGTGAATTAATCCCAAATAGTGCTTGCTCATGACCTGTGTAATAAAGATTAAAACGCCATTTCCTCCCTGCAGATGTGTTTGCTCTTGCTTTGGCAATTAAAGACATGAGTGTAGCAACACGTAAAGCACGTACAACTCTCTGGTGCGCGCTCCAGATGACCTTACCGAAATCTTCAGCTGGAAAACTAGATCCAGAGAAAGCTCTTCGGGAGACTGAGCAACCTGAAGAAAAAGTGTGCGAAAACACAAACAACTGTGGCATCCTAAATCAGAGGGCTGAAGTAAGCAAGCACTAATGAAATACTAGTTGCATGCAAAAATACACTCTGCAGTGTGTATGTATGGGAGATGATTGATACATTAATTCTTTTTAATTATTTGTAAAGTTTGAACTGCTAATACTCATATTTAAAGCTGTATCTTGATGAGAAGTTGAATTTGCTTTAAGGGCTTTCGGGTTCTACTTAAACTGTTAACATGACAGTCAGCGTCAGAATATTGTAAAGCCAAACTGGTGAATGCTAACTTAAAAAATAATCAGACTAATTAATTAACAGCCAAGACATTATTTAACTTCTGCAAGGGAACCCTGGTGTACAACTCTTCTGATAACTTCTTTTAGTTTTGCTTTAGGAAATAGGTTTCAAAATAATGATTCTTAAAGACTGTAGTCTAATGGGGTGTCCGGTTAGTATCAGATAAGATTGTGATGTAAAAATGGTTTCCTTATTGGACTAAAACCTGGAAACAGGAGGAAAAATGCTAAGAATACCCAATATTCATGTAAAATTAAATATTTAAAATACAAATATTTATGAATTTGAGATTTTAGAATCTTAAGTTTGTGAAAGGAGATGCACCGGGTTCTACTAAATTACTGGTATGACAAAATTGCTGTTGTGAAACCATGCAATTTAGTAAATGTGTTCAAATCATTTGGGCATGCTCTTGGGAAAAAAAGAACCTCTGTTTTAAAGTATTTAAACATAATCAAAATATAACATGCACACAGGATTATCCTTTAAAAAGCTGTGCAGTAGCTGAAATAATGAGTATTGTTTTTAATACCTTCACTTCAAAATCGGAAGAGGTATCACAAAGTTCTGAAATTTAGGTTTTCTTAAAGTTACTCTTTCACTAGTTTGGTTTGAAATTTGCTTGTCATATTTTAGACTTATTAGTTTACCTCTGCATTTTTTGACAGCTATTAATACTTGGTGTTTATCTATCTGCATATCTTAATCTGTATGGAATATAAGTAACTTATTCACTGATACGAAATATTGGTATTATGTGGCTCAGGAGATAGGGGGTTTTAACACTTCTAGCATCGTGTTTATAATGTGTGGATTAAATTTATTCAGCTGTCCTTGCCTAGATACCCTGATATTTTAAATGTCTCTGTTCTTCCTCCTTCTGGAAATCCTGATATGCAAACGGTGTGATTGCACCACATAAATTGTCATTAGATGATGTGAGAAGGAAACTGAATAAGAATGCAGCAGAAAGTGGAGTAACCATTTTGATCACTGAAATGACCAAAAGCACTGCCAGAGTGAGTTCATTGGGGCAGGAGAACAAAGCACATATTCATACCACAAGTCACTGTATTAAGATTTGTTAAGTTTAACCTAGGCTATGTTGATGTTAAAAGCAATGCTGTACTGACTTCAGTCTGTCTGGTAAGAAATAAATTAGCTTTTGTTGACGAGCAGTTGGTCTGCACTTGTCTTCATAGTCTCAGCTCCTAGAACTTGATCTGTTAACGAGGACTGTAATTTTCAGTTAGTTATTGAAGTATGTTGAGGTATAACACAATGGTGATACTGAAATTACTCTCTCGTAGAAAGGGCTGTAACTTTAGACAAACCATGGGAAAATTCTATCAGTGCAGTGAAGCCAAAGTGGTTGATTATTTTTTCCCTGCAAGTATCTCATTAGTTACAAGCTCTTCTGTACTGCCAGAGAAAGCTTAGGCAATGATTTCAGTATCTGCAACTGGAAATCTTAGCAGTCTGTCTGGAGTATTCCTGCCCTATACATTTCTTGGTGTTCATGGAGTCAATGCACTCCTGAGTGTCAGTCCAGCATCAGCGTTCAGTTCTCCAGACACAACGTCTGCCTTGGCACTGAATCAATAGCAAAAATTACTGATGCTCGGTTACAGCAGCTCTGGGGTTTGAAGGCAGACCTGCAGCCCCACAAGCTGGGAAGCACCAACTGTGCTGAAATGGGCTCACAGCCAAGGGCAGCTTAAACCCTTTGAGGGCTGTTGATTCCTGTGTCTGTGTGTTCACCCAAGACTACAGCATGCTTGTGGGTTGCCAACAGCAAAAGCTGGTAAAGCTGTCCTGGTGAGGTGCTGCTGGATAGTTGTGGTCCTCCCACTTTGCCCCAGGATGCCTGCTGAAAACCTTTGTTCCTGTTCCTGTCCCTAAAATGGCCTTTCTTAAGTGCAGGAGTGAACTGTTGGCTAGACAGACATGACAGACTGAACCTTGCAGCCTGTGCAGGGTATGAATGATACCAGCAAAGGTGATCCACCCATCTGTGAGAGGGAGCACCTGCAGTGCACTTGTGACTACACCCTTCTTAAATCCATACACACTTCTGTTGAATTTATACATTTTGGCACATGGGGCATAACCTTTTGTTTTTCAACTGGCTCTTGAGCTCAGCAGAGGGGGTTCAGTTCCTGTCCTGAGGAGGTGAACGCAGCTCTTTGTTCTGGTGTGCCAGCACCTGTGCAGATGGGCAGCTCCAGCCCATGGCTTGCTTTCCACTTGGAAGTAGAGGTTTGGGGAAGTTCAGTTCAGTACCAGGTATCCAGCTTAAAGAACATGGGGAAAAAACCAAGACTGCTGCCAGTAAGGGGGGATGGCTGTTGCTGCCTGAGCAACTGAGGTACCAGTGGAGGTGTTAGCTGCTGGCTGTTCAGGGCCATCTTTCTCAAACCTACATCTGGCCCAGGTGGCTTCAGACATGGGTGCTGAGCCACAGCTCAGTGCCCTCATCCAGCCTCAAGCCCAGGGGTTGTGTGAAGGGCCTCAGGTCACAGGAGAAAGCGTGAGCCAGCCCACAGTGCTGGGGCTGGAGCAGGCCCTGTGCAGCAGTGGTTCTGTGACACCCTTCTCCCTCAGCAGCTACCCCCAACCTCCCCGTCCCGCTGCAGTCCTGCACACTGGCAGCTGCCTGAACCACCCTGAAATGTGACACTGCACCACCCCAGCCCTGGGGACAAGCACAGCTTGTTCACTGCCCTGCAAAGCCCCACATAAGAGGTGAAGGGAGGCAATGCAGCCTCGGGAAATGAGGTGTGAATAAATGAGGACCAGCACCACAGCAGCAACAGGTCAGCCCTCAGAAATACTGCTGCTGGGTAAGGGGAAAGTGAGGACACAGGACAGGCTGGGGGAGAGCCCCCACACCGCACCACCGGGCACCGCAATCGCTAACCGTAATGTTCAGACAGAGAGGAACCCACTTCCTTGGCCAACCAATTTTATTATTCAAGTCCAAAGATAAAGCAGTTAGATACTCACACTTGCAGCAGCTAATTAAACAGGAGGCATGACCCTTTAATCAGACTGGTGCTGAAAGCAGGCGATGGGGACAGGCACCACCAGCAGCTCAGGAGCCGCCTCCTGCTAGAAGCGCACCTCGCCAGCAAACCACAGCCAGAGCACAAAGCAGCACAGGGGCAAGGCATGCCCGTTCCTTCTGTGCCCCCGAAAGTGCTGCAGCTCCTCCTTCACACTCAGTTTACAGAAATTAGTGTTCTCTCCAGATGCAGGTGACACCATCACGAAAACGGCTGGAAACAGCAAGTAACAAGCCCTTTGGGGCAAGAGAAGCATTCAGCCCCCACAGACAGCTCCCACTTGCAGCTGTCCCTGGTGAGAGCAACTGGCTTGTAAACCCAGCACATCCAAGTTGCCTACAGCCACTCAGTGCTGAGCCTGCATTAAAGCATTCGCCCTGGCAACTGCCATAGAAATAACAGTCAATGTTCACCCACATGAAACATCGGGGAGCACCATTTTCCAGCTACCGGCATGTAGTCTTAAAATAGTGTAAGGACTCAACCGATCTGCTACTGCTGCGGCTGATGCTCAAATCAGCACAGCCTTTACCTCACCAAGAGCCTGTGGGTGATGCAGTCTCGTAGCTGCAACTCATATATATTTCATAACATTTCCTTTCTCTTGCTGCAGAACAGCACTCACCCTCGCTGAGGTCAGCCAGAACGAAGACATAGCATTGTTCATGGCAGTATAAATACATGTATTTGCAAATACATTTTTCAAGGCTAGTGTAAATAAATTTACATTTGCCCTGTAGCAGCATGTCCTTAATTACAAGTCAGAAAGGGGCTCTGCTCAGTTCTCAAATCCTAACACGCTGTTGCTGCAAACCAAGGCCAGCAGGAGGACGCAGCCAGCTTGAAAGCCCTCTCCTACATCTTGTTTTGCTTTGCTTGAAGTGGCTAGAAGTAAAAATCAATTTAAAGACACGGACATAATCACTTCACCGTTCTTTGGTACAGACATTGGCCACAATAACTGACTGGGACATCTGACACCACAAGCACATGGCACGCTTCGAGTTTAGGAGGTGCTTGAAATTTCTTTTCTGCTATGTAAAAAAAAAATTTTTTTTTAAATTTAAAAGAAAAAAGGAAGCGCTTCCAAAGAACCACTCGCCAGCCACGTGCCCAGAATTTCTGCTGCTTTTTAAACACACCCCATATTTGTCATTAATTTTATCCCATCAGAGTCCAATTGGAAAACCCCAGCTATCGCTTCCGCTCGCCTTTTTGTGTCCTTTTCTTCTCCTTTTCCTTCCGCTCCTGCTTGGCTAGCTTATCCTTCTCTCGCTGGAGTTTATCTTGCTCTTTTTTCTTCTGGAACTCATCTCGCAGTAGCTCCCGTTCCAGCTTCCTGGCATTCAAGACATCCTCCACATTTGTGTTTCGGAACAGCGCTGGTGGCGTGTTAAGGGCAGACAACGCTCTGGGTGAAGCTGCACATGGGCTGGTTTATTCTACCCCCCTCTTCACCTTCCTCGCCAAGCAAGTAAGGAATTTGGGAATGAGGAATGAAGAAAGAAAAAGGAATCTCTGCTTGTTTTTCTAAATAGAAAAGTCATGTAGAATAAATATATGCTCTCTAGGAAAGGATTTTTTCCTAGAAAAATCAAGTTGCCTACAGGTTCTTAAGACTTTCATTATGAGCAAGGTCAGGCTACATGAAAAGAAAAATGAATCACCAAACTTAAAAGGTGGCCCTCAAGAAACAGGGAGTATCAACATGGATAAGGATGGATGGGAAGCTCACCGTGGAAGCTGCCTTCCTTCCAAAAAGCCCAACTCATTGAGAATTCAAAGGATACATTTTTCCGATCCAATATTTACTGCTGTTGCAATCGATCCATCCTGGTCATCCTCACCAGTGAGAGAATTAAGGTAATATGGACATCAGTAATTAACTTGTGCCTCTAGACAGTCACACTTAACTCAAAACATGTCAAATAGTTTTATCAAGCCACGAGGAAGAAGCTAAAAATTAATACAGACAATCAAGGACCAGGCAAGCACAAACCCCCATATTCAGCTCCCTCCCCTCCTATTCAACTTTGCTCTTCAATGAAGAACTTGTTCTTCAGCACTATGAAGAGTTAACTTTAAATTCTCCCACTCTACACATACTCTCTCTAAAGAGGATCTTTTCCATGGTTTTCTCACCAGAAAGCAAGACATAACTTCAATACATAAACTACTGTGCACAGCTACTGGGAGGTGATTCACTCCTCTTCTGCAACACACCTGGACTGGGCAAACCTTACTCAGCCAAACATATGTTGGAAATGGCAGAGAAACATACTTAAAGGAGCATCTGCTCATGGCACTCCACAAACTAGGAGCTTCCATGCTTTTTTCCATGGAAGTTATTCTATCATGGAGAAGGAAGACTGAAAAGTTTCCCCAGTTCTCCCCACCAGGCACTGCAAAGCTGGGAGGGCATTGGTTTAGGAGATTTTTAATAAACATTGTCCTTTAAAGCACCAAGTCTCAACTGGGTCAGGAAAAGGATATTCTTCCTCATCCGTCACATTGGCATACTGGGCCAGGAGGGCGGCTTTCCTCTGCTTCTCTTCCTGGGACACCTCCTTTGGCTTCACCACAATCTTGGCCTGCTTCTCCATCATGCTGGCGATGGCTTGGATCTCATCTGGCAAGGAGAAGACTCAGAGCATCAGTCAGTCCCTGCAGACACAGCAGTGAAGTCCCAGCTAAGAGATGCCACACACCGCTGCTTCCTACATCTGCAGTCCCCAAAAGGCACCGTCCCACTGTCACAGGCTGCGTCCCATCTGCAGGGAGGCAGCTGTCACCGGGGTCAAATGCACAGAGCTAAAGGGAGAAGCCTCACCCCCTCCCTTCCTCCCATGAGCCTTCTCACAAGGTCACTAGTGGTGCTGTCAATGCACAGAGCACAGCGAGCCGGCCGTTTTGGGGAATTCAGTCTCAGACTTGAGAGAGCCTGAGCTGTTGAAGAGCCACCGAGGGGATGGTTCAGGCCAGCATGGTGTCTGATGCGGTGATGTGACACCAGCTTCTCCTCACAAGGAGGAATTCCCCCATGCTGCACACAGCCATGATCAGGTGCTATTTTTCCTGGAGCAAGGGAAGTTTCACGATGAAACTTTGAAATAATAAGACTCTTGCTAATGAAAATCCATTTTACTCCCAATTGCATTGTCTTCTGGTTAAAAGCAGCTAAATATGTTTGTTTAACTACGTACTTAAAACCACATCAAATAGAAATTCTGAAAACCCAAAGTGGCTGATGAGTTTCATACTCTTTCTTTTCTACCTACCTAGGGAAACAAACAGCTGATTAACCTTTCAACATGGAAGTTCTGCTGCACGTTTCTTAAAATGACATTTGGGTTTTGACACCAAATTCTTTTTAGTTTGTTAATAACTTATCCTCAGGATTCTGTTATTCTGACGTCATTGGGGATTTATCCTTTTGTGGAACCACAGTGAAATAATTAAATCCTTGCACTTCTAACCACCTAGACACATACTGCTACCTTCTTTCTGTGACAAGTAAGAAAAACCCCTGTGGGTAACCAACGCTATGAGCAGGAGTCCAGCAGCAGCTCTAGCAATTCCAATCACATGTCCCCAAAAGAGAGATTTATTTCATTTAATGCACAGAATAGCCTAACTTTTCCCTGTCCCCAGCCAAAGGCAAGGTTAGGCCAAGGACAGACTTCAGTGAATTTTCAGGGAAAGCCACTGAACCACTGCGTGGTTCAGCCACCTCATCTATAAAGAGAAGGTGAGTGATATTTGTGAAATGCTGAGGTTTAGACAAGAAAAGTGCGATATAAACACAGGCCTCACGATAAGGGCTCACTGGGAGAACTACTTCTAGAATGACATCAGTCGGTGACAATATTCTGTTTGCAACCATAACCAACAAAAAAAAGCAAAGCAAACAAAAAGCAGGATTTAGCCAAAAGGGATGTTACATTGTCACAGGCTACGGTTAGGTCCGTGCAGTTGGAAGATGACTAATTGATCCATGCAATATGCTTAAACCAGCAAAATCTTTCCAGCATATGACTTCATTGTACTCCAGAGCTCTGCTCAATGACCAGAACAAGCCTCCCCCGATGAACAAGAACAAGACAGAGGTCTTCGCTCCCGAGCCAACAGCTGAAGATGAGGGATGAATTCAGAGAGGGTACAAAGAAACAGTGGGGCTATATACATGACTGGGAAAGGAGCAGCATTAGTATAGCAGCAGCAGCCTCACAGAGCTTCCCCCCCTACAAGCATTTATGGAAAAAAAGGACAGTTTTAAGAGAAGATTTTGAAAGAGGAAAATAAGGATGCTTTCCTGATGTGTACTGGGGTGAGCAGCAGCAGAAGGGACAGCACAGCTCTCCATAGGTGCAGTTGTAGTTGTATTAACAACACCTGCTTTCCAAACTAGCATAAACTGAAGCAGCATAGGCATTTTACATCATAACAACTGCATCTACCATCAGAGTGCTAGCTGCCATCGCTACATTGCTAGCATTGAATGGATAGAAAGCCCTAGGTGTTTTGTGAAAGGAAATTGAAAAAATCCTACAGGAAAAAAAAAAAAAAAAAGAGAGCTTTTCCTCTGCAGGATTATGAACCCAAAGAGCAGCAGAATACTAGGGACAGCTAAACGTGAAACTACTCATCCTCATTTCATATTTCAAGACAAAACAGTAAAAAAGCAGCAATGGCAATGATAAGCAAGTCAGATCTGCAAACATATTAGCAGCATTGGTGTTAACTCCTAACAGGATGAACACACAGTTCTCATCTTGGGAAGGCCCTGCAAATTACTCATACCACGAGGAAAGACACACCGAGCAGCGACACTACCTTCTTTTTTCTCTTTGGCGTCAACAATCTGAGATTCAGACCACTTCTCGACTACTTCCCTGCAAACATCGTTTAAGAGATCTTCTTCCTAGTAAGGGAAAAGAGACTTCTCAGTCTTGGAACAAAGTTGGTCTGCTTTAAACAAGCATGAATCAGATATGAAAAGTACCAGCTGCAAAGAATCTGAACACCCAGCAATAAGCTCAAGTGATACAGCTTTTCACACGACATCTACTCATTCAATGCATACATGGGACTTTGGTTAACCTGGGACGACACAAGTCATGCAATGCACTTACTTGTTGACACAGCTCAGGACTAGAGAATGCCTTGACCTGCTAGGCAAACACAAGGTGTCAAGGCTGCCGTCCAACAGCTCTGCACCACGCCAGGTGATGCTGTATCACCACAGCGGTTTACTTTTCATGATACAGCTCTAACAACACACTCTGGTTTCATAGTGGCTAGCTCTGTAGGTGCAACAGTCCTACAAACACTGAAGAAAGGCAATCAGGGTATCTTTGCTCTAGAAATCTACTGCCCAGCATCATCTCTCTTCTTGGGCAAGGCTGCAGAGAAGCTACTCAAAGGCCACCTCCAAGCCAATCTCAATAAAGTAAATAAACTAGACTGGATAAAACTTGAGTCAGGGCCAGTATGGAGCTGAAACCACTTTGATGGTACTGATAGACCATCTCCTCCCACCAGCAGGGATATTCTTGTCCCCCTTGACCTGCCTGGAGCATTAAACACAATCTAGAGGTGGCAGCGGAATGTATTCACACTGTTGTTCATTACTGAGGAAGACTAAACTGCAAGGAGAAAGGAAACGCACCCAACCAGCACGAGGACAGCATTCCCATCACCAGATCCTTCGCTTGTGGTGCTCCACCATAACTAGCTCTCTGCTCAGTGCCTACGTACAGCTTCTCAGGGGACTGATCAACACCTTAATTCAAGTTCCAGCAGAGGACAGGCGACACACTACTCTACCAAATCTCAGCACTTGCGGTCACAGCATTCCTGTAAGAATTGCCTGATACATGAGTTCAGGTTACAGAAGCTGAATCCAGGCACGAAACACAATCCTGATAAAAAAAAAGTGTTTCGAAGAGTTACAACCAGGGGCACTTCAGTGGGAAGACATATGTGTACAACAGGCAGAAAGTGTCAATATTTTTTTATTTATTCTGCTCATTAACACTAAATGGGGTTTGCTTAGGAAAAACCAGCAGCAGAGAGGCAGAGGCACTTGAGGAGAGCTGATACCAAATGTAAACTATGTGGCCAGGGACACCTGAGGAATGAGACAGCTGGGACTGAGAAATCCTCTTCCCCTGCACCTCAGCAGGTCTGGCCAGTGCATTGCAGCTATTAATGCTCAGGCTAGGTCCGGGCACTGCCTGCAAATCCTTACAGTCATCCTGCTCTCCTGGGGCAGCAGCACTGCACTCAAGCAGGGACAAATCAAACAGCAAAGCAATGGTGACTTCTTACTAGAGCTGTTCTGCCAGCCTTGGCCATCGCCTACCCTGCCTATGCCAAAAGCTAGCTCTGGGAGGCAGAAAACCTGATAAACTCTGCCTAGAAAAGAATTTCTTATACAGGTATGTAGAAACCAGACCTCCGCCGTCTGCCCCTTTCCCCACCTTTCACAGCCAGGTGTGCAGGAATTGGCATTTCAAAGATGAGCACACCAATCCCCTGCACACAGACTTTCCACCAAAAAGACATCAAGTTCAGGATCCTCATCTTGAAAATTTGGGCACCAGGTACCTAAAAAAAGCACCTTGAAGTTCCAGGACAGATTCTAACTGAAAACATTACCCATCCAGCAGAACAAAGCTCACCTGCATGGGGGACAGCAAGAAAAGTTGAGTTCTCCACAACTGTGGGACAGACAAAGAGATAAAAACATACACAAAAATATTCCCACCTTTTGCTCCAATACAAATAAAGAGCAACTCAGAGTAAAGTCCTCCTACCCTGAGCCTACAACAGCTAAGCACAAAATTCTGCGTGTAACAGGCAGACAGCAGGAGAACTGACACACAGCCATCACACAATGCAGCCAAGCACCCAGATCATGAGCACAGTTCATGGCTGTACACACAACAGAACAAGGTCCCCGGGTTGGGGAGGACATGCTACAAGAACAAACACGCAGGATATTCAAGGCTGTGAGAGGAGGTGATCTGCAATCAGAGAAACAGCAGAAGGACAAAGGATTTGCAATTCCCACTGATATCAGACTCCATTTTAAGAAGTCAACATGCCTTTAACAAGAGTAGATCCAGAGGACAGGATGATGCCTAATCTGCTAAGATCAGGTATGAAAACGGGTGGTTTAGGTCTGGAAGAACCCACCGACCCCACTCCCACCGGGAGATGACACTGGGATCCTCACAGGAACACATGCTGGATAAGCAGACCAGCAATGAGGATGAGGTGCACCGAAACATCATTCCAAGTGCCAGTCAGAGGGAACCTTGAGCCCTCAGACACACAGTAAGTCATGAAAAGGTAAGGAAAATCAGCATGGTTCAAGGACACGGAAGACATGAAAGTTTTTAAGTGCCAGAAACACTCATAGTAAAAGGATTGTCCTCAATGGATGGGCTGCCCTGAATGCAGGGAATACTGGCCTGCTGGAATCAAGGCTGGCAAAACAATAAGTAACTTTATATTAAGCCAGGAGAGAAGGCTGGGAGAGACATACTCCTTGGGCACCTGGTTTCAGTATGCAGAAGGAAGAAAATCAGGCAAGTGATGATAAAGAAATGGCAGCAAGTGGGAAGGAAAATGAATGGCAGAAGACCTGCACAACCTTCTAACAAGGGTTTGAGCAATAAGAAACAAATCAGGTATTTCTGTATCGGGGGAGGCAGGCCTATGAGGGGAGAAGAACACAAAAGTGAGAGATGTTCTAGCAATTCCAGAAACAATGAAAAAACAGCCTTGGAGCTAGAGAAAGGAAGAAATGAAAGACAAAGATGACAGCGTGTGAATGGACACGAATGAAGCAACAGAAAATAAACATGACGGGGCAGCCTGGGCGAAACTAAACCATTATGGAAGGAAGCAAAGAGAAGTTCTGCTACAAAGTGCGGGGTATTTGCTGTAGCACCCTTCCATCTGACTGCAGTCTGGATGGAGACCTCTAGCAGAGCATTGACTTCTGTGCCTCTGGGAGATTCGTTCCCCACGTATAAGAGCAAACACTACTAATAGTGGTGGAGTTCAGAGAGCTGAGGATGCAACTACCAAATACTTTCATCAAGTATTCCCCAAACAAACAAGAAATGATGTTGGTTTAGAGGTTAGTAAATACAGACAAAAATTAACTATGGAAAATACAAGGGAGACAGATTCTGTCTGGTTTAAAGAGAAGACCTGAACAGAAATAGATCTCAGTTCTAAGTTTCTTGATTTGAAATGGTTACATCTGAATAAACTCAGGGAACTAATGCATGACATTGTCAGGACTGAGGAACCATGGATATGAGTGCAGAGGTCACCTGAAATTTATTTTCATGAGGGTTGTCAAAAACAAAGAAAAAATTACCTGGAATTTGTGTATAGAACAAAGATAAAAGACTTGGCAAGAAAGGCCCCAAATTAACCAAATAAAAGATTGTTTCAAAAGTCAATACAGAAATAAGCATAGTCTCTACAAATAAAAGAAAAAGAATGCACCAACTAAAAAAAACAAAATTTAAAAAGTTTGAGGGTTCAAGAGACAAAAATGTTTTACAAGAATTGCAGAAAAATCAAACAGCTCAAAACTGCAAACGAAGCAAGAGTCAGCTGTGACTGTGTCACAAAGAAGAAAATGAAGAGAAGAAAGGGGGCTGTGGTACAACACATACAGGATAAAGACAGCCCAGAACTCGATGAACACAAAAACCCTGCACTGGTTCTCAAACCATGTGGCAGCACACAAGAAGGGTAACTGAGCACTAAAGAGAAAAGAGGAAATATCAGAACATAACGCAGCCTACTGCGGGGCAAGGGACAACCACCGCACTACGTACTTCAGAGCTCAGAAGGAGCATGCACAGTGAAAGGCAAGGCCCACCTCAGGCTTGTGAGTCTGCAACCGGCGTGGTCAAGGATCAGACACAGGCTCTGCCTTTGGTGGTGAAATGAAGGCAAGTTAATTAACCTCAGCTATTTTAGAACAGCATTTTCCAAAGACATTTTGCTCTGCCCCTGACACCAGCAGGATGCACTGTTTGCTTCTCCTATTATTTTAGGCACAAAGCTACACTACTGCAGTTATGCTTCTTTTACTTACTGCTGGTGCCCCAGGGTGGGGAAGGGATGGTGGAAGGCAGCAAAGAGGTGCTCTGTCTTCTAGGAAAACCAATTTAAAACGGCACGCAGTCAGTGAACAGAAGGAATTACGTGATATAGTTACCTATAACAAAAAGCTGATTATAACAACCAAGTCCCTTTGGGCTTTGTGCTCCTATACAGATGTTTTGGGAGGAAGTCAGCAATAGCCACTGAGCAGACTGTTGATCAACAGCAGCATGCACTCACTATTAACATTTTACACTACAAAACATCCATTTATGCAACAGTCTGAGATACAGACACTGTAAAAATCCTGCAGCTCCACAAAGGAGATAACTAGTGAAGAGAAATTCTTTTCTGCACTCTCCTAACTCTCTCCCAGAAGTTTTGGGGGTGGGGGGAGAAGCAAGCCTCTGCCCACACACAGCTGACAACCTGGTTAATCTCTGTCCCAGCTGGGAGACAGACTCCAGCTCCAGCCTGATGCAAGGGCCTGACTCCTGGAAAACAACACTGTGCTGCGAGGAACGAGATCTGCTGGACAAGCAACCACCAGCTAACATAGCTACCGGTGAGCCACTCTAAAGGATTTGTCATTAAAAATCAGTTCTTACGCCACACTTAGGCACTACCAGAAAGCCACCCAGCTGGCAGGCTGAACCCTGTGTCCTCCGCACAAACAAAAACCCACCCTTTTCTTCCCCCACACGAACAGCCATGCTCCGCAGTGGCTGCCAAAGTTTCCCATCAGTCTCAAAACCGGCACAAACCCCTCTCCCCAGCAAACAAAAACCCCCAAACTCCGAACACCTAAAGAGCCCAGAAGGACCCCCGGAGGTGTTGGGGACCCCCCCGGGGAAGGCGGTTAGCCACCCCAGGGCCTCAGGGGAGCGACTCCCGCGCGTCCCCCGCGGTTCTCCAGGCCCAGCGAGGCCGCGGCCGCCCGTCGCCTCCCGGCGGCGTGGAGCAGTCCCGGCGGGGAGACGGAAAGCTCAGCGGCGCGGACCGGGCGGCAACACCTCGCCGGAACCAGCCCCTCACCCCGGGCGGCGCGGCGCGGCCGCCACCCAGGGGAACCCCCCCACCCCGTCCCTCACCAGGCAGGCGGCCAGGACGCCGCGCAGCGCCTCCAGCCGCTCCTCGTCGCTCTCCTCCTCGCGGAGCAGCCCCTGGATGTAGGCACCGTAGACGGCGCGGTCGAGGCCCAGCGCCTCCAGCCGCGCCGCCAGCCAGGCCGCGAAACCACCCGCCGCCTCCCCACCGGGCGCCCCCCTCTTGGAGCCCCGCCGCCTCCGCCGCGCATGCGCACGCGGCCTCCCGCGGAGAAAGGGGTGGGAGGCGCGACGGTGGCCGCGGAGGACAAACTGATGGCGGCGCCGGCGGGAGAGCGGAGGAGCTCAAGGGATCGGCTTCTCCGTGCCCGCAGACAGAGAGCGGCGGTACCCGGCGGGGCGGCTCGCCGGTGCCCGTGGCCGCGCCCCAGCCGCCCCGAGCGCCCCGTTCCTTCCCCCCAGGAGCGGCGAACGCGCTGCGCCGCCTTCTCGGGGAGCGGCGTGTCCCTGCGCGGCCGCCGTAGCGGCGCCGCCGTTAGGGGCGGGGCGGGAATTTAAACGGCGGGGGGGCCCCCCCCCCCGGGCGCCATGGCGGGCCCGGCCGCCCCCCGGCCGCTCCGCGGGAAGTCCTTCTACCTCGACCTGCCGAGCGGGCGGAGTGCGCGGGAGCTGGCGGAGGTCATCCGGCGCCTCGGCGGGGTGAGCGGCCGCGGCGGCTCCCGGGGCCTCCCCTCGCTCCCGGGGCCGCCTCCGCCGGGTGCCCGGGGGACCGAGGCGGCCCCCGCCTCCCATCTCGCTCCGTTTCTCTGCCTGCTCTCCTATTTTAATGGCTTGCCGTTTTCCCTCGTTGCTCCCGGTGTTGAATTTGGCGTCGTGAAGCAACCGCCCGGCTCCCCTTCCCGGTCCCCGGTGGGCGCCCGGCCTCGCCTCACAGCCGGGGAGCCCCTAGGGGAAGGAGGCCGCCCTCCATCGCCTGCCGCCTTCCTCCCCTCGCTGCTCCCCGCCGCCTCGCTGCTGGGTCTTTCTGGACCCCTCACGGTGTCGTTAGGCAGCACGGTCCCGCTTGTGACTAGCTGCTACGAAAACCGCTTGCCCCTGCCTTCCAGGTGGTGGCAACTGGTTGCCCGGCCATGGGAGCACTTTCCAGACGGTGGTAACTAGTTGCCTGACTGTGGGAGTGACTTCCAGTTAGGCGTAACTGGGTGCTTGGTCCTGGGAGCACCTTCCAGCGGATGGCAACTGGTTGCCTGGACATGGGGGCACGTCCCGGGCAGGTGGTAACTGGTTTTATGGTGATGGGAGTTCCTTCCAGTAGGTACTAACTGGTCATCTGGTGATGAGAGCATCTTCCAGTCAGTGATAACTGGTTGCCTGGTCATGGGGAGCACCTTCTGGGCAGTGGTAACTGGTTGCCAGGTTCCCCCTCATCCCTCACAGTAGCCTGTGGCAGCCTAATTTTTTAGGGAAGCTGTGGGACTTCCAAATGTTTCTGGGAATTCAACATAGAGTAAAGTAGGGTAGTGCCAGCCAAGTCTCTTTTGTCATGGAGCTGTGTGCTTTTTCTTTTGGCTTTCCCAGAAAAGCCATCTGGACCCTTCCCTCTGTGAAGCTGTCATTTGGGTGCATCCATATGGCATTCTTCATGGCCTCTCCAGATTTCCTTGGTGCTGATATTGCTCACTAATTCTGTATATCCTCTCCCAAGCCCTTTCAAAAAGTAGCATTGCTTTAGTCACCTGGGCTGGAACTGAGGACAGGGGTTGTACCCAGCAGCTGGTCGTTCATCAGTTTCATGTTTCAGTTTCCTGATAACTCCTAGGTACAGTTTCGTCCTTATAGTTGTTGCTACTTGTTTTCAGACTGTTTAATCTCTGAGGTGAATTTCTTGTGTGCCCCCCAAAACTTCCTTAAATCCTTCAATGCTACACACAGGTGTAAAATCTTCATTTAGTTCTTGTTGCTGCTGTATCTCTGCCACCAGGATCATGTTTTGGCTGTAAAGATGTGGGGAAGCTGACTTGCACTTTTTTCCCTTTTTGAATTGCACCTTCATGCTGAACTTGCTGATTTCTTTCTGTTCTCCCCTGGATGTGCTGTCAACTCTCGGGGACACTCTCCTCATAGCATCTCTTATTTAGCTGTACATCTTCAAGTCTGAGAACTGCTTGCTCCCAGCAGTCAGTTATTTCTCTACATATAGCTGCCACATTACTTGGAAATAATTTTAGCCTGTTGACTGTCCCTCTAGTTTCTCATCAAACATTGTCTCAGGTCACTTCCCTCTCTGAAATGCAGCCCACCGGGAGTGGAGTTCTCATTCCTCTTGCTCCTGTGGAGATGCTGAATTCAATTGTACCACAGACACCATCTGTGCTCTTCAGTAGTGATATCCAAACCCAGGTCCTGTGTGTTGTTCAGGACCAAGTTAAGGGCATCTTATGACCTTGGACTTGCATGTGGTGTCTTGAAGTTAGCTTTGACGTAGGGGTGGTAACACCCTGGAGCGTTATTTCAATGGGGAGATTTTGATTTACTCTCCTCTGTGTCTGCAGCCCCCTTGATCTCCCCTAACACAAGTCACTATTGCGGGGCAGCCTGCAGTGTCACATGTGGTACTTCACACAGGTGGATCTGGGATCTCAATCCACAGGGATTCTGTAACGCAGCAGAGCCGGCTTGTTCAGCGGCCGTGATTTCAGACTGCTCAGATCTTTGTCTGTCTGTGGGCTTCATACCCATGTGTTAGTGCCCCATGACTGTCTGCCTTCTGTTGAGTTTCTGATAAGCCTACTGTTAGTATCCCAGATTTTGGTTTTCCACCTCTTCCTTGGACTTCTAGCATCTGTGCAAAGGTGTGTGTATGTTTCAGCTTTCTAGTTCCCTACTGCCCTGTTCTGTGTGGAGCTTCTTGTCCAGCTGTTCACTTTCTACTTTATTTTGCTAAAATGTGTTCTGTTCTCTTGAGAACAGAGCTCTTCCACACTCATGCGTGATATCCAGGGCCTTTTTCTCAGCTATTGCTTTTTTCTGAAACCACTGCTTGAGGAGTAGGTCATGGTAGACAGCATCATGGAAGTCTCAATCTGAAGGTTCTGGTGATTATTTGCGGTGTATCCCTAGGGCATGCACTCTCTGTGCATCATAGGATCTCCTCTCCTTCTGGGAGACAGCAGTAAGGAATGGAAGAAGGAACCACTTGTAGAAATGAGTGCTTTCAGCAGCCCCTTAATTGTGTGTGGGGGGGTTAAGCTAGAGACAGTAGTTCTTGTTTAGCAGGACTCTTTCAGCTCAGAGTTGGACAGTTTCAGAGCTGCTCTGTTCCGTCTCTTGCTGCAGGTGACCGAAAGCTTCCTAAGCAAAGAAATCAGCTACGTGGTTTCCAGCAACAAAGAAGCTAAACGAGACAAAGCCAGGACTCGGACTGAGAAGCAGAGCAGCATGACTTCAGAAGATGCAAAAGCCATGAGCCCAATGCCTTCTACCTCCAAAGGGAACAATACCAGATCTCGCCAGAAGCCACCAGACACTGTAAGAGCTATTAAGGTTTAGGCCACCTCAATGTTTGGCCCAAGGGATCTATAGAGTAGAACCTGAGACCAGTGTTGGAAGGTAAACTCGTTCCTGCTCTGAGCAAACGTGTTGTGTGTTGTTGTTTGGGTTTGGTTTTTTTTTTCCCCCTGGTCTGGCTGTTCATATTCATACCAATGCTCCTTGTATCTGCACATCATTGTCTGCTCAAATATGCATGTCACAGCTTTGAGCTAGTAAACAAGGTTATCTGCTCAAATGGCAGAGGAAATGGAGGGTTTAGCTGGCTTCCCAACAGAATAGGCAATTGTTCTGATGCAGAGGTGTGTCTAGAAAAGCCAGAGAAATGTAGAAAAGATAAAACAGTTGCAGGCTCTGGATGTGGGCTCACAGACACAGGTAGGGCAAGGCCATTGCCTTGGGAGGAGATCTACAAGGGCAGCTTGCCAGAAGGGATTTCTCTAAGTCCTGTTCACCCTGCCGGGGCTGGGATTTCTGGTCAGTAGTGTTTGTGGCCAAAGCTCCAACATACTGCATTGAACGCTGGTGTCCACTGGAAGCTGTGACTTTGGGGAGAGCCTACTAACCCAGTCTAGGCCATGGGCATCTCTGCCAGCTGGAGCTGGACCCCCTGGAGGTGGGAAGCCTGAGCTAATGTGAGGGGTTTCGCTCACTCACAGTGTTTGTTCGCCTGTCCTTGCTCACAGCGCTATCCACTTGTCATACAAAAAGCTCACTTGTCATACAAAAAGCTTAACCTATTTGCTGAAATCATTGGCTTGCAAATGAGACTCTGTTCCCAGGAAGGGCTAGCAAGGATGTTCCTAACCCCTGCCAGCCCATTGAGATGTGGCAGGCAGAGTCTCCAAGCTAAGTTGCTGCTTCCTCTTGGCTTTCTCTGGGTTATTCACTGCTGTTCAGTAAAAGCTAAGCCTTGGCTGAACAGCTGCTTAGTGTAGACCTAATGGGTGCCTCTGCGGTTTGCATTCCCTGGAAATGCTCAGTCCTGCTGTCTCTGAGATGAAGTTTTGGCCAGGCTTCCCTTCCCAGCAGAGAGCGGGTATCACTAGAAATCATTCTTACTGGACAGCCATGCTGTCCTCAGCTTGCTGCTGCCTGGTAGCTCTTTGCTATAACATAGTACTTGGCTTCTTTCTCTGCAGGCTCTGATCAGCAGGGGAAAGGAACTGCTACAGAAGGCCATGAAGAATCAGGTGAGCAGTATGTGGATGGGCTTTTCTCTAGCTGGGTATGTTCAAAGTACTGCTGAGCAGTGCAGAACCAGTGCCAACCACTTCTCCAGAGCCTCTGCTTGCTGAAGGGAGCAGATTCTGGGGCTGGTATGGGTGCTAAACACAAGACAATTATTAACACAAGACCCATTGTTAGATGAATTTTTAACCTAGAAAGAACTAAAGCTGCATAGCTGGGGCAAAAGGCTCCCCTGGAGTCCTTTCACTAATATCACAAGTGGCCAAAAGAATCTCAGTGCCCACTTAGGAGCTCATGCTATAGCAGAGATTAAAAATTTGACCTAGATGCTACTGTTAATTTGGGGTAGATAAAGCATGAGTTTGAGCCTTTTCTGCCCTGATTTTAATAACAGCTACGCAATGGTCTGTCACTTGGGCAACAGGAAAATCTCTCTAAACTAGATTTGGAGCTGCATGTGCTCACACAGCCATCTCTGCTTTGAGCTGTACCTTGCCAAACCTCTCTGTTTGTACAGGACACCTGCAGTGGCAGCAGTATCCTCGCCAACGCTCGCCTGTGGGGAGTCCAGGTCTTGCACGTGGATGGTATCCTTCTCTGTAGGCTGAAATTTAGCTGTTGGTAATTAGTGATTTTTGAGACAGGTGGAGCGGAAGTAATGTAGCAAGTGTGGTACAGGAGAAGGAAGAAATTGCAAGAAATACTTGGTACTTGACTGATGCCATCCTGGCCATGGCTAGCTAGGTCTGCCCTTCAAAAATTAGATTAACTTGTACGTATAGAACATGCTACTGTCACATTTACAATAGCAAACGAAGTATGTTGTAGTATACTGAGGCTGTAATATTAG